TGGATTCACGCAAGAAAAAAAACAATTGACAACCCGATAAGTGGTTCGTAACTACCTTGCAACCCCAAATATGACTGACGGAGATATTTTCGGGATGCCTACTGAGTCTAGGCAGATTCGCAAGAAAAGAAAAAGAATCCCCTTTTTCAGGTGAGACAGCCAGAAAATCTGTAGGTGATGTCAAATATCGTACAAACCTGGTCGAAAACGGCACTGATGAGATGGCGAGTTGACTGTCACAAGCCCCACACCGCGGCTTGCTTGTTCCAGTTTCAAAGCGTAAAATTCTGACCATGCACAATTTGAGGGATCCCCGCCATCGTGTGTTGAAACATGGTGGGGTACCTCAACTATTGGCTTTCAAATAACCTTCTGTTGAACACCTCCCCCAGCAGTGCGAACGCTTCACAAGTTCAACTGACCCCAAACCTGGATTTGCCAACACCGTGTTGCTTGCATTTGCCTCACGGTTACTACTATGTAGACGTAGATGCTCAACATTTGCATCGATCTGTTTGAAATTATGATTTATTCATATCCAAAAAAAGAAACGCTGCACAAAAAAAAACGCAAAAAAAACGAAAAACACTACCAAATATATCTTAATAATATATATATACATAATAATAACTATAATAATAATAACAATAATAATAATATGTATATATCTAAATAATATATATATATGTCTCCCCAACAATCAGGAAAATGAGGCCAAGTCACGGCAGCAGGTGCGGCACCGCGGCATAGGGGCCCTCCATGCCCAGGCGCAGGTAGGTGTCCGAGGGGTTCACCCCAGCAGCTTCCATCTGGGCAAAAAAAAAACGTATCGATCAAGGCATAAATTCCAAGATGTTTATATATGATATATATGATATATGATATATATATACATACATACATATACATATACATCTATATATGATTATATTAATTATATTATATATGTTTGTTCGTGAAATCCCGACTGGTTCTCCTAACATAAAACCATTTTGATCGTCAAATCTCCACAAACTCTCCACTTTTTGACGGCAAAACATATGGCCAAAGCATGTCCCAAAATTCCCAACCGCTAGCCCACCATGGCTCGCCTTCACGCGGACCTGGTTAGGCTTCAGAGCTGGCAGCTCTACAGGGCGCAGTTGCAAGACCTGCGGTGACGCCCAGTGGATTTTGGGGATGTGAATGGCTTGGAAAAGATGGGTGGGATTTAACCAAGAAAATGCTGGTGTAGAAGAATATTGATGGAATATTAATGATCTGCGAACTATTTTCATGGAACATCTTCATGGGAGATTGGCGGGATATTCATGAAACGTTGGTTGATACCCTCCTGGATTCATCGCTGGGAAAATCCTCTGTGAATGGACCGAATTTTTCATAGCTATGTTATGTGACAAATTACCAGAGGGTAGCAGCTATGGGTTTTCAGCATCAAACTTTTGCTGTGTTTTTACGGTTTCAAACATGGTTCAAAGCCTGGGCGTGCACATGGTTTTACCAGCCTGGAGCCAAAATAGATGAGCAATGTCAAAAACATGTTGGGAGCAGATTCCAACAATGGACGATAATCACCAGTATATTGAGCAGTAGTTTTACCCCATCATCAACCAGTGTGGTAGTCCTTCATCCCTATCCCACCAGCCCTAAAAGATGTGGTAAATCCATCGCCATTGGAGATGGTTGGTCAAATAGACCATAATTTTGGGGGCAGCTGATACTATACACATTTAAAAAAAACAGGTGACATGCTGTCATGTTGGGTTGATTTTAACGTTACATTCTCGTGGGAGGCTACTTGTTTGAAGCATTTACTATTGATTGCTAGTTTGCTTCCCCTCAATATTTCGAGTGAAGCAGCAAGCCATCCAGATGAAACACCAGCTGTGCACTTTGACACGAGTTGATGATACCGCATATGGCTAGGGCCGGGATCAAAGTCAAAAGACACCCTGGTGCCCTGGTGTTCACACCAAAATAGCTGCTACTTATGGCCATAAAGTGCAGTTCATCCCCCAAACATGTCCGCAACATCATGGACCAAATATTCACCCATCCCCAAGCTGTTGCCTCAGGTGCTCCAAACATGTCCGCGACAATGGCCTCTGATCACCCCCGATATGTGAAGGGTAACCCCCGAACCAATCATCAACCAGGGGTTGATCTGCTGAAAATCATGTTCGCCTGATCTTAGAACGACTAGAGCATGCCTTCCTCACAGGACATCAGAAAACTGGTTTCAAATCTAGGGTGGAATTGTGGTACTGGCCAACGAAGATTTAAGATAAAAGAATTGAGTCAGTTCCGTCCAATTTTCGGGATGCACCAAGAAGCTGAAGGCACTTCTTGAGAGCTTCTCTTCACACTGACATGGACTTCTTCAACTTGAGGTAGTTGGTTGTACATGTCTATCTGTTCACAATGTCTTGACTCCAAGGCACTGAGATTGGCATGGCTCTCAAGCGCCGGGAGACGAACATCCAAACAGCAAGCAGTTGAGCTTGTCTCAGCTGTCCTAAATTTGATGTTTTGTCAGAATTCTTGCCATAAAAGGTGGCAATTTTGGGGTGTCCTATGCCCAAACAGCCGCAAAATGTGGCCAGTGTTGTATTCAACCATTCAGATTCCAGCATCGGGCCTTTGCCACGGCTTTCAGTCACCCCTTCCGCACTTCCGTAAGCTGCTTCGGTTGTCGTCATGTTTAAGAATGGCATGAATGCTGCATGAAGGATGTGTTTACTTATTTTACTTGAACCCCGTGTATTTGACGCTCAACACATCTCAACACCATGGCTTCACACGGCTTCACCCAAAATTCATCCGGCAGCATGGTGATCTTGGACCCAAGGCGCCCGAGCCAGTGACTTGTTGCACTTTTCGAGCCACAAAAGCTGCTGTTCGATCTCCATCGCCGGCGAAGCCTTTCAGCTTTGACTTATGGATTTAAAGGAAAGACTTGAGGGAAATCTGCAGGGAAAATATTCTTACCCCAAAATAGAGAGGTTCCAGTATTTCTTCCCTTCAACTGAATGACTCAAAATTAGGATCCCAAAAAATTGGATGCTTCATATCAAAAGCCCACAGCCTTGAATTTGCTCCACTGTATACCCAAATTTGTTCTGATGACTTGAATGAACCCAAAAGGTTGTTTTTTTGTGATTCACAATGTTTAACCGTCCAATTTCTTGGGTTTCTTGGGTGAACCCAATGCCAACCAAAGCGGGCACCCAAAATCTGGGGTCTGCTGAGGAGGATGACATCTGAGCCAATCCAAAGTCTACCACCACGACGTGCAGGTCCTGTGGAGTCACTGGGATTGGAGCTGCATATTGGTTTTGTGCCCTCTGGCAGCAAGTCAGAAATGCAAAACACAAAGTTCAGAACCGGGCCACAGAGTCACTCTGACTCGGAATGTGCTGTAGATGGGCGGAATACTGCAAAAATGGAGATTTAGATAATCAAATTGTAATTACTTGACGTTCCCGATTGAACAGGGGGATTTCCCATTGCCAGATTGGATTCAGGTGGACATGTCCTGAAATCTAAGCACGGCCGCGCCCACGGACCCGACGTTGCGATGTCTTGAAGCTTCAAAAATAAAACTTTGAGACTTTAACAGATACTTGCTCCACTTAACAGAGTCAGTTGCCTCAAATACACAGTGTTTGTTCAGATCTTTCCCCATCGCTCATGATTCAGGCACAGCTGGGATGTCCTGGATCGGTGCCCCCTTCGCGCTGGACATCATGACATTCTCTGGCTTCAGGTCTTTGTGCATGATTCCTGCGAGCACAACGAGCACAACTCGAAAAACGCGAGTTATATGGCGAGCTATGGCAGGGGTTACACGGGGATACACGGGATACACGGACCAAGAACATATGGAGAAATGACACGGAAAATGATACCGGAAACAAGGTAAAGAAGCAACCTACAGGGAGAAGTGGCCCATTTCTTCGTATTACTCTCACCGGCGAACTTGCTCGAACAATCGAGTGATGATGAAATTCAAAATCAACAAAAAAGCTATGGATATGAGAAAAATTGAGGAGATTGTTTGATATTGTTTGCCACGTTTAATATACTAACATATACTAACCATGGCGTTTTGGTTCTACCCATTGTTGCCACGTTCCAATGTTCCAACCCAGGCGGCCGTATGCAGCTGCCAGTTTTTCCAGCAGCTGGAATGGATGAGTTCGGATGACAGCTGGATGAGACCCACCAAGCACAACAAAGTCTACCCTCTGGTAAACATACAAAAAACTATGAAAAGATCCACCATTTTTAATGGGAAAATCCACTATTTCTATGGCCATTTTCAATAGCTATGTTAAATTACCAGAGGCTATCTTCACTCGATTTCAACGAGAATTTCCTGATTGATCAACAAAGGATCGTTGAAACCACCAACCACTCGTCATGTCATTCAAGGTCGGCATCATCCGCAATTCAATCAATGCTACTTTGTCCAGGCGCAAGAGAGTCATGGACTTTTCAAATTCACCTTCCCGGGACCTATTCATGTGGTCTCTGTGGCTGGAATCTTCCTTTGAAACCAAAAAACGCTCTGGTCTCCCGCAACCAGCAAAAGTTTGCGAAATTACTTCAATGTATTTGAAAAACATGGGCGGATGTCACACTTGACCATTCAATCATCGCGGTTCGATCAAGCTACCAACTGAGTCCAACTCTTCCCTGATTTGTGGTGCATGAATCCCTTGCCCTGAATCCAAGGTAAACCATGGGAAACCATCGGGGATGGCGGTTCAACGAACAAGGTCAGGCCCGGTAGCTGGCGGTGAGGTCGCCGATGTCCTCACAGGGACATACGAGCCAAGGTAGTGGTGATGTTTGAGAAGGAAAAATTAGGGATTTACTAATTGATTATAATAGTAATCATAATAATCATCAATAATAATAATCAATTGATTATACCACTCATAATAATCATCAATAATTCCTATTGGCAAGAGGCATTTATACATATTTATACTCCCCATTTGAAGAAAATCCCCACAGATTGTTTGTTCCCACCTGGATGGAGTGGCGCCCCGCATTGGTCATGCCAGCATTCTTGCAGGTCCTGGTCCCGCTGGTGCCGGGAGAATCATCGAACTAAATGGAGATCTGTATTGCTTTGCAGAACCTAAAGGTTGGTTTCAAACGTCTTATCATTGTAAGGTTGCTATGTCAGTAGAAAATAGTAGAAAAACTATACAGGAAATTCATTGGCCTTTGTCATCAAATTGATGCAGGGTCCCGGTAAATGTAAGTTGTCCCTTGAATCAAGGACCTAGGATTGCCGCTTGAGACCTCACTGTCCTATGGTTCCAAAATCAATGCCGAAAAACGAATGGGTCATGCCTACTATGCTTAGAGGTTCATATGTTTTTAATTTCTAAACCTTAATAGGATCACAAGCATCACAGCTGAGCGCCGGGCTGGTGCAAGTCCTCTACAATTTTCAGCAAAGCTTCCTCCCAGCAGCTGTTGTTGAGATACGAGATACCCTCTGGTTTTATCTAATGGGAGGTTCCGATTGTTAATTTAAAAATATCTAGCTGTAGATTGCTAAAATAAGGGGGGTCCAAAAACTGGCATGGATGTTTGATTACCCAAGGGTGTTCAATGTTCATGACTGGGGACCAACCCACTACAATGGGTCATACAGAAATACCAGTGGGCATACCATCCTTGGAAGTACTTAAATGAGGTGATGCACCACCCAGAATGGGTCCAAAATCTGGAAAAAATGCATGAATGATTTGATGGAAGAAGGCAACCCATTCACCAGTGTAGTGAAACCCAAGTCTATACGTGGAGGGACTACCGTGTATCAATGTCATTTAATTTCCATCACTTGGGAATGCCAACTGCCTCTCAAACTGAGGTTACGGCTCAAAAATTGTTGAGAGTTTGCCCCTGTGACTGGGAACTAGAGGCCATCATTGGCCAGAAGGCTACAGCTCCGAATTATTGGTGCAAGAGAATGATTTTTTTTGGCCACGCTAGCCACTTCGCCCATGGTCGAAGCATCGTGCAAAATCCCATTGTCACGACAAGGGTTCGTCTAAGTTATCTAACTCGCCTACTGGATAATTCTGTTGAGATGATCAGAATGGCAGTCACCACTGAACATTCGCAAGGGAGACCAAGATAGAGAAACAGAAAACCAACAACAAAGAGTCAGTCATCCCTGCAAGGCGGCAGGGGGATCATGGAAACCACGTGAGTCACCCCCCTCCCGCTTTATGGACCCCAAACCAACCCTAGGCTACACCCCTAAACCCTAAACCCTAAGACAAAACTAACCCTAAATGAGCCCTAGATACACCCTAAAACAACCTTGAACCAACCCAGAAGGAACCCTAAACCAATCCCAAATAAACCCTAAACCAGCTTTACTTTTCATACCCCACTCTATTCACATGTTGGATTTTGTTGGTAACACAGGTAGACTCTCATTGTTGCTGGTCAAAGCCCCATTGTTGGCGCTTAAATCCTCACAAGTTCTCGGTGACAGCCCCATGTTCTGGGGGGTATAGTGATAGTGTTTCCTATAGACTGATAGTGCTTGCTATACCCAGCGGCTACCAAGGGATTACTATCTATAACGGGGTTAGTATTTATGTATGATATATATATATATGATATATGTATTTATTTATTTATATTTATACATGTATGATCATGTATCTATCTATATATATATATTATATATGTATTTATTTAATTATTTAATTATTTATTTATTTATTTAGATTTATACATCTATGATCATGTATCTGTATATATATATATTCTGAAAATTGATAAAGGGAAAACCATCCTGCCTAGGAATTTGACTACGTTGGTAACAAAATACCTAAAAACCTCACATTTTGAGATCGTTTGGTGGTTATTTCATGTCATTTGTTGATGTAATTCTTTTGGCTACTGATGCCAACCTTTTTTCATGTCATTTGTCAGTGCCCTATTTTGCGGGTGGCCCTTTGGGCATTGAGGGGGCCCGTCGCGGGCTGTCGAGTCAGGCTATTTACCATCAATCGTCTGGATTTTCAGTAGAAGATAGTAGACCAGCTACGATCTGTCACGGTTTGTCAGGCTTTGAAACTGAAACCCCTTCAAGAGTACCCCATCAAATGACTCTTCAAAATGCAGATAAATGCATCTCAGGGTGGTCTGACTCTGCTAATCCGTCTGGTCTCATATGTCTGTATCAGTTGTCTGCCCCTAGACAGTTGTTTCATTTTTTTGTTGGTGATCCCCCTTTCCAATGTGGTTCCAATTGTTCGTCATCCACCACTAATTTGTTCGCAACAGCGCTTTTGATCGAATTTCGTGGCCTCAACCTCATCAACGTCATCAACCTAGCATTCACCATTAAGTTTACCCAAAACATCCTCGCACCTTCTGTTCTGCCAAATCTTGCCGCTCTCTGCGACACTCTTCCTGTCGACTAAGAAGCCTTTCACCTGTCAGAGTTCAGGGGAAGAA